TCTACAGCCCTGATACACAGTACACAGAGCAAACTAAATGTTCTTCAATTTACATCAACAGTAAAGGGCAACCTTACTCTTCCTAGCAAGTTTACAGACTTTTTCTCAGCCCCTCCTTCTCCAAAATGATTGTAATTTTTTTTGGGGGGGAGGTATAAACACAGGGACCCCTCCCTGCACGTCATTATTTCTGGCCTAGTTCTTAAAGACCGATGCTACCGTTGTTCACATCCTAGGTGGCCCAGGGTAACTACAGCTCATGACTCCAAAGAAACAGCCCCCCTGGAGATATCAGGACAAGAAGATGGGATGTTTACTGTGGTGAAGAGACAGATCCCTAAGGAACACCCTGGATTGCCAGATTTGTGAGTATACTTTTGGGGAATAACCCGGCTACACAGGTAGGGGGGGGGGGGGGGGCGGATGATAAGCTCTTCCTTAAAAGACATCGTAGACTTACTGCTGGCTTGGCTTCCCATCTACTTACTGTAGTTACCGTCTCATCTGATTTACATAAGAATACATTGTTCCTCTAAACTACAATCTGGGCTCACCAGTCTTCTGGAGATTCAACAATAACATGAAAATAATCAGCCGGTGCTTACCATCCATAATGGCTTCCCAACCGCTGTACCCTCCCGCTTCGGCTTACCTGTGTGCACCTCTCTCCGACTGCCACGTTTGCTGATCATTAAAGGGTTTTTTCTTCTTTAAACTTTCTTCTGATCTGCAAGAATAACAATCGTGAATGGTGAAATGTGGAAAAACCAGTCCCCAGCCTGATATTTCCCCTAGCTGCTGTAGGGCACGTCACATCTTTACCTCTCTTCAATCCACCAACATTTTCAAAGAAAAAAGAACCTTTTTCTTCGATCAGATCGAAATATATTGTCCAAAGTATGCAGATCACTTCATACCCGGCTGTGATGAGCATGTTATATAGAAATATAGACAGACTTGTATTCAATGTGATATATTTTAATGTAGATATAAATCCAATTGGTAAAATCTCTAACTTGTTAATTTTATTCCAAATATAGTTTCCAAATGTTTCAACTGTGCATCTCACATTAAAATAATTCCTGGTGATCCTGCCATGAATGTCCTTGTCTAGCTATTTCCTGTAATAGTGTGACACAGCTCTGTTACTGTCTCTCAATTGCTCTCTTGTGTTGTCACCCTGTCACATGGGCCCTGGTGGAGAATACAAACACCTGTCTTGACATACATTGAGAGAATGAAAAGGAAATATAGTATATATCTACTGGTCAGAATCAGACATCCAGTAGTCATAGCAGTTGAGAGATTCCCAGTGACCAGCAGGATAAATATGAGCAGATCATCCTGGCAGATGACACGGGCTTACCTGAGGTGTGAGATCTAAGCACTAGCCACAATTCACCAGAGCTCCTGATGGTGGGGATGGGTTTTGCTACATATTAGTACTAGGTTTTATTCTTCAGGATCGCCCCACCAGGAGGTGAGCAAGCCAGGATCCAAATGCAGATGTAGCAGTTAGGGATCACAGAAGCGTAGAAAGAAAACAAGCCAAAGGTCAGTAACAAGTGGCTGAAGGTTAAGATTAGACAGAAGTGTAGATGAGGATCAAGTCAAGGTCAGTAAAAATGATTGGAGGTTGGGATTAAGCAAAAGCGAAGTCAAGGAACCAGCCAAAGATCATTAACAAGTGGTAGCAAAGATATGAATGGCAGAATGAGTAAAAGGAGCAAGATATTGGCTGGAGTTAGCTCAATAATCTGGCAAACAGGAAGTGCAAAGGCATGTCTTAAAAAGGAAGTTCACAGGAGGAGCAAGGAGTTCAAGGTTCACAAGAAACAATAAGTGCATTATCCAAGGTTTATTTAAAAATGATTCAAAAGCAATAACATACAAACATGGAAGTCTATAAAGCCATTGAGATGACCCAACATGATAGCAGAGTTCCCAACTGGTTTTGAAGTTAGCCTGCTGATGTGTTTCGGGGAGGTGTCCCCTTCCTCAGAGCTCTGAGCTCTGCTACCACGTTGGGTCATCTCAATGGCTTTATAGGCCTTTATGCTTCCATGTTTGTGAGTATGTTATCGCTTTTTTTATGTTTTTTTAAATAAACCTTGGATAATGCGCTTGGTGTTTGAGCCCACTGTGTGCTTCTTTTTCCAGTTTGCGGTGATCCCCCAGTCACAGGAGGGCTGCACCACCAAGACCTGTTCCAAGGCTAGTTGCACTTCTGAATCTCTCACCCATTGTCTGCTTTCCGGTGTCGATCCCTTTGGAGCGCTGGAGAGATGGTTCTTTTGTGTCACAAGAAACAATGTTCAAGGGAAAGATTATCTTAAGATTCAAGCAAGATGTTGTCCAGCATCCCAGGTGGCTGAATAAGGGGAGCTACTGCCAGATGCAGCAGATCTTGAGGGGTCAGATCCTGGTCCTGACATCTAATGAGTAAATAACAATAGAACGTGCTTATATGCTAATGTTAGGTTCTTTGCAAAATAAAAGGTTTGTTTGCTAGAATGTCTTTGCAGCGAGATGTTATCAGAACATTTTGTTGTTCCCCATTCTTGGAACGTCCTGTTTTTCTAAAATTGTAGATATAGTTATACTCCATATATTCTATAGCGAGGCATGTCAGCGTGTGGGTTAGACATTTGCAGTTTGTTTCATTACGAATTGAAATTTGTTCAAGATTTTTGTAATTCGGCTATTTGAATGTATCGGCATTTCCAAATCACAATAGTAACACATTTCAATGAATCTGAAATAAATAATATTTTGAATTTGAACTAAATTGAACGGATATAAAGAAACAAATCCGAATATACAAAACAAATTCTGAAAACAAATCATTTGAACATAACGAATATGACAAAACAAAATGATTAACTTACTGTAATGAACGAATCTGAAGCAAAAAACTATTTTTTTGCTCTGTGGGGGTCGCAGTCCCACTGATAAGGTGTTCCAAAATAACAGAAATGAAATTAACATCTCTTCAAATTGTTGATATGGTGGAAATTTCTCAGTGAATGAGTTTGTGCTTTGGGGGTCCCACATGATAACAGTCCAGGATTAAAGCTTAAAAGCCTCCCCTTAAATCCTTGGTATACTTACTTTATTTATCCAGAACCGCCATGTGCATGAATCTCTCTGCTTTCTAAACTTTACTTTTACTTTTTAACTTTTCTCTTCTAAATGTACTTTCAAAACTTTTCACCGTGAGCAGAGGTTGATGATTTACTTATTAGTTGGTGGAGAATGCAGGTCTGTCCACAACCTCAGCTGACATGTCAAATTTGTCACTGCCATGGCAAAGTAAGAAACAGACAACTGGGAGAAAATCATAAAGTCCATACATTTCTCTGCTCATTTCTGAGCAAAATGGCAATAATGGCCACAAGTGTAGCATGTATGTGTCAGGGCTCCGGGTATGACCAGAGGTATGTGAACTGACGCAGGGAAACGCAGGCTTCAGATATGTTATAAACAATATAATTTATTAACACTAACAATACAAACGCAGTGCAATACTAAAACATAAACACAGTGCAAACTAACCAAACCAAACAACCCACAGATAACAATACATACAATGCAAGTGTAGTCAGGCAGGCCGGGTCAATAACAACCGGCAGGTAGGAACAGGAGGAGCAGGCAGAGAGTAGTCAGGTCACGAGCCGGGTAAATCAACTAACGGGCAGGTAGGTACAGGGGGTCAGGCAGAGAATGGTCGGGGTCACAAGCCAGGGATCAAACAGGAGAAGTAAGCAGAGATCCGGATCAGGCAGGGTCAGCAACGAGTCAGTCAGGCAGGAACAGGAACAGGAAGCAGGTAACAAGATACAGGGGCCCATAGAAAAACACACACCAAGGCACAGACTGCAGGTCTGGCCATCCCTTAAATACACCTCCGTAATCAGCCTCAGGTGTTTGGCTGACTACAGGGTTGAGTCTCTGATTGCTGAGAGCACCCGCTGGCCAGCCCTGGTACTGCAGCCCACAAGGCAGGTGAGTCCCACCATTACTGGCAAGTCCATTCCTGACAGTACCCCCCCCCCTCAAGGAGTGGCCTCAGGACGCTCCAAACAGTCCTAGCTGGGCAAAATGTTCCACCGCCCGGTCTGGTAACTGGCGGGATATCAAGACTGGCACATTGGGCTGGACTCCGGGCAGCGGCACATCGGGCTGGACTCCGGGGCAGCGGCACATCGGGCTGGACTCCGGGCAGAGGCACAGGGCCCCCAGGAGGAGCGGCAGGCACAGGGCCCCCAGGCGGGGCGGCAGGCACCGGGCCCCCAGGCAGAGCGACAGGCACCGGGCCCCCAGGCGGAGCGACAGGCACAGGGCCCCCAGGAGGAGGGGCTGGACGGGCGGGCACAGGGCCCCCAGGCGGGGCGGCGGGCCCCCAGGCGGATCGGCGGGTGCAAGGCCCACAGGCGGAGCAGCGGGCCCCCAGGAGGGGCGGCGGGTCCCTGGGCGGAGCGGCAGGCACCGGGCCCCCCGGGCGGAGCGGCAGGCATCGGGCCCCCAGGCAGAGTGTGGCGGGCGCCGGGCCCCCAGGCAGAGCGGTGTGGGCGCCGGATCATCAGGCACGACAGCGGGCATCAGGTCACCAGGGCATGACCGCGGGGGCACTGGGCAGTCATCAGGCATTGGATTGTCTGGCTCGACAGCGGGCATCGGGTTACCAGGTATATGACAGCGGGCACTGGGTCACCAGGCATCAGGTCATTCGGCTCGCCAGCGGGCACCGCGTCATCTGGCAAGGCAGTGGGCACCGAGTCACCAGGCACGACAGTGGCCTCTGAGTCAATTGGTACGACAGCGGGCACCGGGTCATCAGGTACCGGATCATCTGGCTCGACAGCAGGCAGCGGGTCATCTGGCGCTGGATCATTCTGGCTCGACAGCGGGCATCGGGTCACCAGGCATGACAGTGGGCACTGGGTCATCAGGCATTGGATCGTCTGGCTCGACAGCGGGCATCGGGTCATCAGGCGTTGGATCGTCTGGCTCGACAGCGGGCATCGGGTCACCAGGCACGACAGCAGGCACTGGGTCATCAGGCATTTTATTGACTGGCTCGACAGCGGGCATCGGGTCACAGGCATGACAGCGGGTACTGGGTCATCAGGCATTGGATCGTCTGGCTCGACAGCGGGCACTGGGTCATCAGGCGTGATAGGATAATCATCAGGCTGGATCAGTTCATCAGGCTGGGTACAGACATCAGGCTGGGTAGAGACATCAGGCTGAAGTGCGGGTGCTGAGGCACCAGGCTGAACCACGGAAGGCAGGTTCTCAGACGGCAGGCTCACCGGTTTGGATACTGGCAGGATGGTATTGGTTGGAAAGAATTTTTCGCTTTTTTCTGGTTTTAACTACTGGAGCACTGCAAGTAAACGCAGGTCTGCAAACGAATGGAGCAGCTGAGGACAGAGAAAAGCTGGAAGATGGAACAGAGGAGGAGGCAGCAGTTGCTACAGAGGACTTCTTTACAGGGTTAAAGAAAGGATAGGTGCAGCGAGTGGGAGCAGAGGACTGGTATGTGGTAGTTAGAGTATACTGGGCAGTCACTGGGGGTGCTGTCGGGGATGCAGGAAGAGTGCCTTGAGTGGAGGGAATGATGTTGTAAGCTGACTGAGGCTGGGTGCAACAAATCTGTCCATGTCTGAAGTATGGGTTGAACAAAGCTGAGTTTACACAAAGCCTGTCTGGTCAAAGACTGCACTGCGTTTATACAATCTCTTAGTATCTGTGGTGAACATGCAGAATAACGCTCCAAGAAGCAATCCACATCATCCTCTAATAACCATACCAGGGACTCTACCTGGTCGGCACTAAATGGCGGCAAAAATTCATCCCTGCATTCGGGGGTACCAGATGAAACCAATTCAGCACAAACCTGAATCAATGGCTGCACCTCAGAGAATTCTGTGCCCTGATCTACTAGGCAATGAGCGATTCGTATACATTCTAGCAGTTCATCCCGGGGATACTCCCTCAGAGTCTGATCAGCATATTCTCTGTCATCAAACACTAGCAGAGATACACACAACCTCATCAATATCCATCCTTCCCAGCAACAAGCCAAGATGGCTTCCCTGTGCCACTTCTGGTCAGGATTGGCCTTGGTGTAATGTCAGGGCTCCGGGGGTATGACCAGAGGTATGTGAACTGACGCAGGGAAACGCAGGCTTCAGATATGTGATAAACAAGATAATTTATTAATACCAATACAATACAAAACGCAGTGCAATACTAAAAACATAAAACACAGTGCAAATGAACCAAACCAAACCACCCACAGATAACAATACATACAATGCAAGCGTAGTCAGGCAGGCCTGGGTCAATAACAATAGGGCAGGTAGGAACAGGAGGAGCAGGCAGAGAGTAGTCAGGTCACGAGCCGGGTACAGCAACTAATGGGCAGGTAGGTACAGGGGGTCAGGCAGAGAATGGTCGGGGTCACAAGCCAGGGATCAAACAGGAGAAGTCAGCAGAGGTCAGGATCAGGCAGGGTCAGCAACGAGTCAGTCAGGCAGGAACAGGAACGCAGGTAACAAGATACAGGGGCCCATAGAAAAACACACACCAAGGCACAGACTGCAGGTTGGCCATCCCTTAAATACACCTCCGTAATCAGCTTCAGGTGTTTGGCTGACTACAGGGTTGAGTCTCTGATTGCTGAGAGCACCCGCTGGCCAGCCCTGGTACTGCAGCCCACAAGGCAGGTGAGTCCCACCATTACTGGCAAGTCCATTCCTGACAGTATGTCACCTGGCCTGTCCACCCAACTGGGACGATTACAAGGGCAAATACAATTTAAATGTTGGGTAAAGCCATAACGGGTTGGAAGAGAGGTCTCTATTTCATAAAGGCCCTCAAATCCTGGCTGTCTGTGGTACCTAATGTTTTAGGGTTACTTTGAATCCCTCCTCTTCTGTAGTAAAGACCCTTACTGAAATCATAATAATGAGATTGGCAGAGCCAATTTGTTGGAATGAGCACTGACTTTACACACTCTGCAGAATCCCTGCCTCTGAAGAATGGGTACAGTCTACATACATCTCCTTCAATTGAAATATAATATAGCCACTACGGTCCATTAAACCCATTACATGAGAGAGTGGAAACATGAATGCATTAACCTATTTGATGGCACTCTCGGAAGAAGCCAATCACATCCTCCATGCTCCCAGGGGCATATTTTACCATGAGGCAAACATCATGAGAGGACTTCCTTGAGGGGGGTTCTTCTGGGCTGTGCTAGGCAGGGTCACTACTTTACACATGGGGGTACTTTTACTTAATGGACTAAATGCAATTTCTCCTGCGCTCCGGGACCCAGGCCGGTGGTGCGGTTGCGTGAGTAGATCAAAATCCCAGCAAAACAAACCACCGGGGCATACAAGGTCGTGCAGCTCCAAACCAAGGCTGGGGAAGCCCGAACAGAACTGTGAAGTAAAACAAGAAGAAGGGCACCAACCTTGCGCATTACCTCAGTAACCAAATTTATTTAGTAAAAGAATGGTACTCACAAACAGCGAATAAAAACAGGCATGTAAGTCCTCCCAGGGACTTCAAAGGCAAGAGGCCAGCGCGAATCCCATCATGGGGGTGGGACACTTAAACCATACTCATGACCCAGTAGATGACAAACATGAATGAACTCCAGTAAACTCTCTTGATGTAATTATACACCAACACACTTAGAGGGACATGCAGAGCCAATGTCCCTCCAGCGGTCTAGTGTATCACCACTATCTCACTCCCAGGAATGGTATGGGGTGTGTGCACTTCACTTAACTCTTTGTCTTCTATACCTGTGTACAGGATGTGGGCCCCGGTGGTACAGATCTGCTCCTGTTGCTATGGGAGACAGATCGCTGCTGAACATCTCACTCACTGCCAATGGTTATCTCACCTGACACATCTACACACTTAATGAAGACTTCATGTGAACCCTTTATTACCCTTGGTCACCACTGCATCTGCATGCTGTATTAACTCTTGTAGTGACGTCTTCATACCCCAATGTGTTTAGTGACCCGAGCTGTAGACAATATGTGCCGGTTAATTACATTGCACCCCTTTAGTAACATCAGACCAGGCAAGGGCAAAGTTTCAAAAAGCTTTATTTAAAGAATACAATAACATGATGGCAATCACAAGTAAGAGTTCATAATAAAGTTCAGACATTCCCCTAGCATCCCTAGTCCCTAGCTAGAGGCTTGTGGCTGCCCCAGCATACCTGCTTAGATTAAATCCATAATTGGATGAATCCATAGTGGGGTTAAACTTTGATTTCAGCAATTCTCTGGTCCTCCAGACTCTGATGACAGCATGGCAGCATTCCATTCAGCTGCATTCCCTGCTGGGCCCCATTTGACTTTGGCAATCCCTTGTTCTTTTCCCCTTTTTTTTTGGCTTAGACTTTATCTCCTGGGTGCGGACCCTCATTTTCCTATTTATATCATACCTGGGCCATACCCAGCAAAACCCACCAAACAGAAAACCTGGGAACATACTTAACGCTTCCTGACTTGGCCAGTGTAAATAGCCAGCTGGAACCTCAGCCTGCCTACAAGTGTGTGCAAATAGCTGCAGTCCAACTGCTGCTATGGAGGGCCTTCAATTTGCTGAGTATTGATCTGCTGCATATCATAGTGTCACCTACTTGTATACTATGGATGTAACTGACACTGAGTGTACCTGAAGGCATTAAATAAGGTGATCACAATTCACAGGGCAAAGGTAAGTCTAATATGTGGCTGCCTCCAGATGCCTGGGGCCACTTATCAAAACTTCAGCCATAGATCATGTTACTGCTTTATCCCATACAACAGCAGTGGTGAAGAGTGCCCCAAACTCATTCTTAGCAACCAGATTAATTTAGCAAAAAAAAGTTAACGAGAATTCAGAGAAATATTCACTGTGAGAGGGACTGAAGCTTCCCTATCAGCATACCTTTCCACTACAAGCCCTGCAGCAAGTTCTACCCGCAGCCATTGAGTGTCAGTCCCAATCCACCAGTCCAGTGGAGGAAACCCCTGTCCGTAGATGAATAGATGCATGACTAGTTGGAAAAGTAACAGCCCAACTACTACCTGGAATTTGCTGTCAGAAATAGTTTGTAGTTTCAGGTAGTGCAGCTGATAATGGATGATTTGTGCAGACATTAGCAGCTTTAAACTGATGTTCACCCAACAGCAAAGGGTCATGTTGAGCATTACAAATTAAGTTTGAAAAATGAAAAAAGCAAAGTTTCCTGAGCAGTCAAGTCTAAAATGAGATGAAGCCCTGAGTTTTGCCACTAATATCTATAGGCCCCCAACCCTATGAACTTACAGTATCTCCTTTTGAGATAATCGTAAGTTCAAGCTCCTAAGACTGGACTTCGTTGTATTCTTTATCTTGCTTTTTAGAGCTTAGAACTGAAAAAGTAATACATGTGAATCTTATACTCTGACCTGCGTCCCCAAAGTATTTTCTTCATTGCCAGATCCTGAACTAAGAACACTCAACACTACCTCTGTACCAGAGACTGGGGATTGGTCCAGTAACACCTTGCCAAGTCTCTGCAGCATCACTGAGACGGCCTTTCCAGGCTTTCTAGACTAATTCTACATCAGGCAAGGATGAAGGGTTTAAATCACATAGTAAATTGCAGTGCTACAGTAACTACAAAGAATACAGACAAATCACTCCGGACCCTCTCAAATCAATCAAAAAGGAAAAAGTGCATCCATGTTCATTATTATGCCAGCCAATGATTGCGGCAAAGAA